ACACGACCATGGAGAATCTTAAATATAAAATGGCTATACATCGTACCATGTCGTCGTCTGGAGTCCTCTAGAGAGTTCCTAATGTCGTTCTTCTGAGTTTCAATTGACTTGTTCAGTCTAGCGAACAGTGTATCCAAAGCAGCGGTCGATGAATCAATCCAGTCCTTGGTAGCTCTATGAGCGCTCTCAACTCTACATGTTGTAGTGTTCCCAAAATGAAGTACCTGGTTTGTCCAATATTTGACAAACTTTTCCCTATGAGGGACCCATTGATGCATCACATAGTCCACCAGTGCCGGACACCACTGGTACGAATCCCTGAAGTTAGCCAATGCTCGCTCATACGCTTCCTCTGTGGTAGCCTGTAGGATCTTCCGCCACTTACCATTCACCAATCTCTCTGCCATTTCCAAATTCTTCTTGAAAAGGTTGTAGGCTTTCACTTTCACGCAGTTGTTGATGTGCCATGTGCACAATAAGTGGTTCGATTCGGGAAACAGCTCTGCTATGGGGGCAAAGAGACCTCCCTCACAGTCGCTGACGATGGCTGCTGGATGAACATTAGGCCCGATGTAGTTTCTCAGCTTCTCCAAAACCCAATAATAACTTGGAGCCGTCTCATCCCTGATGATTGCATGACCAATCAGAAAGTTCTGGTTCGTTGGAGCCATCCCAACCATCTCAACCAGAGGGAACTTGTACTTGTTTGTCTTGTACGTTGAGTCGATCAAAATCACAAATGGCCAAGACTTGATCATATCAGCACAATCAGGATGCACAAGGAAAAGATGAGTCACCTCCGCTGTATCTTCATTAGAATCAAACCAGAACAGGTAACCACGTGATTGTGCCTGGTGTAGCAGCTGCTGTATAGGGTTCCTTCCCTCTGACCGTTCAAACCTGAGTTGCTGTCTGACGTTGTAGATGTGTCTTCGGTTTGGATGGTCTTCTGGAAATTTCTCTAACACAGATGCTAATATTTTAGCAGGCTTCACTTGAGCATCACTCATTTCTTTCACAACTAGTTTCGCAGCAGGACTTAAGCCGCTCAGTTGTCGATGACCCTCTTCATATACTATCATCTCATGGTTGTGATACCCCCATTTAGAGTAACCTATCACTTCCCAACCGTCACGACTCCGTAGTTGTCGAACCTTTACTCTGAACTCACACCCACAACCTTTCCGCTTTGTGTCAAACCGAGTGGCTGTACGAAAATCTCTTTCTTCTCTTTTGCGATAACGGTCACATCTCAAAATGCGATCCATTCTACCATCCCGTTGAGATTTATGAGTTGCTACTACCAAGCAAAATCCAGCTGCAATTGCAACCTGTTTTGCCCAATCAATCGCCTGTTGAGCTTCTTCGAATGGACCATCATGTCCAAATATCTCACTGTAATCATTTCCGTCTCCACCATATTCCTGCATCAATTATATATTACAATAAATACATTTAACGGATAATACATTTAATTTCTATATTTCCACATAATTAACACAAAAAAAAACATAATTATATATAATCAAACTTAATTTTTATAAAAACCCAATTCGAATTTTCAAACTAAATTTAAAAATATACCATTTCGAATTTTCAAATTTAATTTTAAAAAAACCTATTTCGAATTTTCAAATTTAATTTACAAAAAACCCATTTCGAATTTTTTTAAAAAATCATTTTCGATTTTTTATTTTCACAAAAAAATTAAATAAAAAACAACAACAAAATCAAAAAGGAAAAAATAAAAATTAATTATTAAAGGTGGCGTCTGCCAGGGCTGCCACACCCACTGGACTGGCGCCTGGCAGGGCCGCCTCACCCAGTGGAGTGGCGTCTGCCCAGGACGCCAGTCTGGTGGTCTGGGCGTCTGGGCTGGACGCCACTCTGGTGGTCTGGGCGTCTGCCTGGACGCCACTCTGGTGGTTCTGGCGTCCGGCTTGGACGTCCAGGCTACGGTTTGGGCGTCCACCCTAGGCGCCGGAGCCACTACGACGGTAAACCGTGAATTTTAGCGGTCACTTACCTCGTTTTCCGTCGACGACGACGTACCTCCGGCGTCCCCCGCATCTTCGGCCTGCCATCCGGTCTCCCCCGGCGAGCCAGTACGACTCCACATTTTTTACACCGAGATTATCTCAATTTTAGCAAAAGGGCATAATGGTCAAATCATAACATATTTGTGGGCTTTATATGGTAAATTGCGGGCGATGTTTAGCGTTTCACAAAAAAAACCCGCCCCTTTATTTTCTTTCTCTTTGGTATAGATTAATCAACTAACTAGTTCATTGTTTTCTTTGTATAGGTATTTGTTCTGCTCTATAGCTACTGCTGCTCTGCTACTGGGCTGCTGTTATTCTGCTATTTTGGTCATTCTAACTTTGTAATTTTTCATTTTTTTTGGATGAAAAGTGTAAAACTACAAGTTAATAAAAAGATATGTGTTTTAGGTATAATATGATTAAATACAACTGTGTGTTGTCATATAGGTGAAAAATTGCAAAAAAACAAAATATTTTTTTTTTTATTTTTTTGGGCATTATTCGCACCGGTAATAACTTTTTTTACAAAAATTGTAGGCATTATTTGCACCGATTAACCGGTGCTAATAACTATAATTCGCACCGGTTCTGAACCGGTGCGAATAATCTCACTTTTTGGCATCCCTCAAATCTAAACCGGTTCAAAACCGGTGCGAAAAGCCGGTTTTGAATCGGTGCACATTTCCCTTTTTCTGCTAGTGTTGTGGTCTCTGATATCATTGCGGGGAACACAGTCGCAACGCACGTGCTTAACCCATCCTATCTTATCATCCATGGTAATAGGTTTCAAATAAGAAGATGAGTGCGAATTTTTCATGGCTAAAGGACTTGTTTCAGAGAATTTGCGAAAACTAGGGTTCGTGAAATGGGGGAAATTGGGGGAATTAGTTAATTTAGGGTTTATAAGGGAAATTTGGGGAAATCGTTTAGGAGGGAAGTGAGGGTTTAACTTTTAGAGGGAAAGCAATTAAAAAAGATTAAATTAGTCTTTCAGTAATTAGTTAACTAGGGTTAGGGTTAAAATTACTCTAATCCATCATTAATGTTACCATTAGGCATGAAATAATTAGAGTTTACCATTGATAATAAGTATTTTTGCGTTTCACCACTAAGAAAATTAAAAGGTTTAGTGTTACCATTGAGAATTTCCCAAATATGAAAAAAAAAATTTAATTACAAAAAAATTGAATCATTAAATTAAATGTATACTAATAATCAACCACATATCTAGCCCGGGGCATTGCCCGAGCCAAAATCCTAGTTGTATTTTTAAATTATGGTCGTTGGAAAAATTACAACGGTTATAATTTCTGAATGCATCTTGGTCATTGATCAATGCATTGTGTGTCAAAGCCTCCATTTGCCACATCGCCGGACAATCTATGAGGAAAGGAATCAAATGCAAATTGGCACTATATATTATTCAATAACCAACACTTGAGAACCGTTTATCATTTCAACCAGGTTATTGATTTTTTTTCTCCAACAATTTATCTCTCTACATTTTTTTTGTACAATCACTCTCCTAATAACCACCCCAAAAGGTTAATGGTTGGCAATGCTCTTATGATCGTAGGTGACATTTTTTATATATATATATGACCGTTTTTATTTTATTACGGTTACAATTAAAGATGGGAGTTGTTATTCGTCGCTCCCATTTTACTTAGCGTCGCTCGCTTTTTTTGCCTGAAATTCCGAAATTGCCCCTAGACTATAAATAGCCTCGAGACTCCCGAACTACACACTTCACACTTGAATTTTCTGTCTCTAAAATCTGAAATCTCTTCTCTAAAATCTCTAATCTCTAAAAAATCAGAAATTGAAAACTCAAAAAAAAAAAAAAAAAAAAATTAAATCCAAAAAAAAAAAAAAACCATAACCGGAAAATCACAATCGACTTGCAATGGGTGACCGGAGGCGATTAAGGGTGACGTACGGTGGTCGCGGCGGCGGTGGATTATCCGGCGAGCAGGTACTCAAATCGCAAAAAAAAAAACCGGAAAAATACGAGATTTTCTGGAAAAAAAGGGACATCCGATTGAAAAATTTGGATGTCCCAAGAACATCCAACTGAAAAATTCGGATGTTCTTGGGACATCCGATTATTTCAGTTGGATGTCCCCAAAATCCAGAAATTCTGGATTTATTCCAGATTACTTTTTTCTGTTTTATTTGTTATTGTTTTTGTTGTTGTTATCGTCGTAGTTGTTGTTGGAGTCGTTGTTGTTATTGTTGCTGTCGTCTTTGTTGTTGTTATTGCGAAGTTAATCGAATCGAAAAAAAAAAAATTGCGTAAAAATACCCTGTTTCTGGAAAAAAGACATCCGGATGAAAAATCCGGATGTCCCAAGAACATCAAACAGAAAAATTCGGATGTTCCAGGGTTATCCGGAATTTTCTGTTGGATGTTCATGGGTCATCCGGATTTTTCATCCGGATGTCTTTTTTCCCAGAATTATTATTTTTTTTTTTAATTTTTTTTTTGGTTGGTTCTGATTCTGCATTTTTATATTTATTTTTATTTTTATTTCATTTCTGTTTTGTTTGTGTTAGTATGTTTTTGTTTTGTTGTCGTAACTATATAATTATTGTTAATTTTGTAATTTGTTACATTGTTTATCTTTGTTAATTGTTTTTAATTTGTTTGTGATTTTTGTTTTGTGTCGAATTATTTTGTATGCTTTTGTTTCTTTGTTTGCGAGGTTCTTTTTTTATTTTTTTAAGTTTGTTTATGGTTGTTAATGTTTTTGATTTGTTTGTGTTGGTTCGTTTATTTGTGTTTTTTTTCCTTGTGTTGTTATTTTTGTGAGGTTTGTTTTTGTTTTTGTTATTCGTTTACGTTCTTAATTTTTGTATATTAGTTTGTATATATTTTTTTTGTACGGATTTTTATTTTTTATTTTGTTGTTATTATCTCAGTGAGGTTTAATTTTTGTTCGTGTAATTTGTTTATGTTTGTTAAATATTTTTTATTTGTTTGTGATTTTTATTGTTTTGGTTGTTTATGTTTTTTGGTTCTTTTTTGTGGGTTTTGCGTGGGAAAATTTATTTCGGTTTATGACTTTTCTGATTATGTACGTATTTAACATAGATTGAGGGTTCGGGAAGTCGTCACGCAATATCTCGACGTTTGAACGCCTCAGTTAGGCGGGAGTCAGGCCGTTTAGGAAATACGGCCGAACCGTTCGTTCACCAGCAGCAGTATGGGTATGCTGGTAACTGGTCGGGGGAGCAGCAGCCAGAACGCAGCCTCCCCATGTACTCGTCGGGTGGAGTGCCTTCACCTTCAACTGACGATGAGGAGGACGAGGGAAGTCATGCTTCCCGCGATGACGAGTATGACTCTCGTTATTATCATACGGTGCGTAGGGGTCAGACTGGGAGATTTGTCAGCAGTACTCAAACCAGTCAGCCTTCCACAAGCACGGCAGAGGCATGGGTAGTGCAGGAGGCGATGCCAGGAGGTCCGGAGGATGGGACCGTTATCCCTAGCTTTGGGGGGCATGTGGCTGCGTATATATGGGGCGGGCAGGAGCGTGCTGTATTGCGCTGTTTGGGCAGGACGCAGTGGTGTTCTGAGTTGGCCGCCTGGCGAGGTCGTCTTGCACATGACCATTTGGAGATGATTGACGGTAGCGGTCTGTCCCACTTACCTGGAATCATGTTCAGGCGTTTGGACTGGCCGCTGATTTCAGCTTTTGTTGAGAGATGGCAGCCAGATACGAACTCGTTCCATATGCCATTTGGGGAGATTACGATCATGCTGCATGATGTGTACTACATTCTTGGCCTTCGTGTAGATGGTACCAGGGTGTCCGCTACTCCCAGCACGGACACCCTGCGGGACGCATGCTCGATCACCTTGGACATGACTGCAGAGGAGCTGAATGAGAAGTGCGGTACCAAGACTGTCTGGTTGGGGAGTGGGGTGCTGACGGAGAGGATCGCGGACGCGACTCTTGAGTCGCAGAGGCCTTTTGATGTCCATTACAATGCCTACTTGTGGTTAGTGCTGGGCGGATGTCTGTTTCTGGACAAGAGTGGTAACCGTACTCATCCGTCCTTCCTCAGCGAGCTGGTTGTGGATGATGTGCCGATAGATGAGTACTCTTGGGGTTCAGCTGTGCTTGCGTATCTGTATCGGCAGTTGGGTACGGCATCTAGACGAGATGCCGATTCTATCGCTGGTTGTCTCACACTTCTGCAGGCGTGGATCTATGAGTATTTTCCGTGCTTCCGGCCGCAGCAGGGTACCTTGACTAGGGAGCTTAGTGTTCCGCGTGCCTCGGCTTGGGATGTGGGATCGGGATGCCCCAACAAGAGCATCGAGCGCCTCCTCGCATTTCGTTCTAGACTGGATCAGCTGACCGATAATGAGGTTAACTGGCTGCCGTACGGGGTTGATCCGGCACGACGCGTGCCAGCCACTTTATTCATTGGCTGCATCCAGTATCGGAGTATCATTGAGCCATACATGCCTGATCGAGTCGTTCGGCAGCTGGGATTCGTGCAGGACATTCCGGGGACCATTATACGCCCTGAGAAGGCTAAGAGGCCTACGAACTTGAAGATGTATCGGGTGGAGTTCCCGATTGAGATGACATCAGTTATGTGGACTCGGTTTGTCCCTGGTTCGTACTTCAGTGTTGTTCTCGGTGCCCTTACCCCACTCGGAGGTGGATCTCCTACGGTCGGTCCAGGTTACATGCAGTGGCTGTACCGATTTTCTCATCCTCGTATTTCTCCGGGTGGGTCTTCATCTGCGATCACACTTCCAGAGAGGACTAACACGGACTACGTAAGCACTTGTGTTTTATTTATACTTTAATTCAGTGTTGTACGCTGAATGTGAATTATGTAACTAATGTGTTGTTCTCTTATTTGCAGTGGATGGGTCGTTCCTTGGCGATTCACCGTAGGTCACTGGTGGATTGTCCCAGCATGCCGTACCTGTTTCCTGCGCACCACGTTGAGTGTATCGACGGTCCACGTGTTCGAAGTAACTTGGGTGTCGTCTAGTATCATTGTTCCTTCGGCGACCTCGGACGTTGTGATTCACTTGCGGCTCTTCGAGGTTTGAATGATCCGGATGGAGCTCCTCCTCAATCATGCGAGACACATTTCGAAGTACAGCAGGATCACTTGCAACGACCTCATCAACCAAGGAACGGAAATGTGCAGCTTCTTCGTTAGAATCGTCCACAAACTCCGGTACATTAACACCATCGCCGATGACCAAGGTCTTCCAGAACGGATGAATTTGCCTTCTATACAACCCTTTTTCCGCAACCAACGAGTCATGAATCTGGCAAGCGCATGGCAAACCGTGAGTCACACGCATTGCACATCCACACCGGTCATGCACCTGGTAACTCAGTTCCCTCATCCTTCTTGTCTCGTCATCTAGTACTTTCAGACAATGATGAGACACCTTGCCGTTGATACGAGACAGTGGCAACTGTCTGTACTTTTCACCGATCTTCGACATTGACGCCTCCAATGAATTACGGATGTTAATGATCTGGTTGCCAATATGACTATGTACCCGGTCCCAGACGGTATCCAAAGAACCTGCCATCGAACTGTAATATTAAAAACCTGTTGGTATTTACAAAAAAAATGGAATAAAAACATGGTATTCCCACAACATACCTGTCGAAGACTCGAACCACATCTTCACGGCCGAATGTTGACTTTCAACTCGGCAAGTGCTCGTGTTACCGAGGTGCAGAACCTGGTTCGTCCAGAATGTCACGAATTTGGTCTTATGACAAAGCCAGGTTCTCTCGACATAACTAATCACACTAGGGAAACTAGCCCACCGAGTTTTCATTCTGTCTACAGCTGAGTTATAATCCGCCTCGGTCGCGGCATCCATGATACGTTTCCAATGACCGTTTTTGAATTGCGCCCCAATTTTCTTATTCTTGAACATATTGGTGACCCGGGCCTCCACATCTTTGTTAATGTGCCATCGACAAAGTAAATGCGATGTCGCTGGAAACTCTTCTCTCAATGCCGCACAAAGTCCAAGCTCACGGTCTGTCAGAAATACCGACGGCTCCTTATCATACCCAATCAACTCTCGTAATCTCTGAAGGACCCACCGGTAGCTTCCCGTGCACTCGTTGCGCATGAACACATAACCGACGAGAAAATTCAGATTTGTCGGTGTCACACCGACTATCTCGAAGAACGGCATCCCGTATCGGTTGGTCTTGTATGTCGAATCCATACCGATCACATACGGATACGTCCGTAGTATGTTCACCGTGATCGGGTGCACCATAAACGCATGCTGCATAACGTTGACATCATCAGACATGACCCAGTAAATATACCGGTTCTCTCTCGCCAAATGTAGAAATTGCTGAACAACTCCTCTCCCATCAGACATCTCCGCTCTCAAGTCATTCCGGCAGTTGTAGATATGTCGGATGTTTGGATGATCCTCGGGAAATTGCTCTGCAATTGTCGCCATGATGTTCCGCGGTGCAACCTTGGACTTTGTCATGTCCTGCACAACCTTCTTGGCTTCCGGGCTCAAGCCACTGATCTTACGATGACCCTCCGGATAGACAATCATTGGATGGTTATGGGTCCCAGTTGCATCATTCTTGGTCCGTATCTTCCAACTGTCGGTGACGAAGACATAATAAATCTTGATGTAGAAAGGACAACCAATTGCTTTGGTTTTGGTGTCCACCCTAATTGCATTCTCAAGATCTCTCGGCTGGCTCTTTCGGCCCCTATCACACCTCAAATACCGGTACGGCCGACCGTCTCTAGTTTTGTTGTAAGACGATTTAACCAAAAGAAAACCGAGATTCACGGCAACAGCATACGCCCAATTAACTGCCTCATCAAACGTTGGAAACAGCGTGTCTGTGGCAAAATGCGCACTATAATTCACATCGTCGGCAGCATCTTCGTCCTCCGAACCCTATAAAAAATAATTATAACACACATAAAACACAAACTCGTTACTTCTAGACAATAATAGTAACAGTATTAAAAATAACCACAACAATACTAAAAATAATATAAACAATAAAAACATTAACAATAACACTAATATAAACAAAATTATCGACAGAATAATAAAATTAATCATAATAATTACACAATTAAACATAACGATATTAAAAACAATAATAATAAACACAATAATAACAACCGTAACAGCGATAATAATAATCAATAACACAAAAAAACCAACGAATAATAGTAATAAACAAAAATTATCGAAACAATATTAAAATGGATCATAATAATACCACAATTAATCATAACGATAATAATAATAGTTTACACAATAATTTCGGTTTTATGTCACTAATGGAATAAAACATAAAATAAATAACAATAACAGTAATGGAAACAATTAACAATAAAACTAATGGAAAAAAAACAGAAAAGAAAAGAAACAAACATTAAAAAAAAAAACCTTTTTTAAGGACATCCGGATGAAATTTCCGTATGATCCTTGGGTGATCCGGAAATCTCATCCGGATCCTTCGTGGAAGATCCGGATATTTTGTCCGGATGTTACTTCCGGATGAAATTTCCGGATGCCCCTAGATCCGGATTAAATATCCGGATCTTCCCCGAAGGATCCGGATGAGATTTCCGGATGACCCAAGGATCATCCGGAAATTTCATCCGGATGTCCATTTAACAGAAACAAAAAAAAAATTTAAAAAACTTACAGAATCTTCCGACGATGCCTCCGGTGTACGAACGTTGCCGTCATTCCACATCTTAAGCCCGTAAATTCGGCTCGGGAATTTACTATTTGTATAAATAAACGATTTGTATTGCCCTCGCTCGGGAATTTTGGAACTCGGGATTTTGAAAACGAAATTTTGAGTGAAATCGCTCCATAATGATTTTAATATGCTCGTGAATGGATATGGCTACTCGGTGAACCTTTAAATAGCAAAAAATAAGCAAAGGGCAAAATGGTCATTTCACTTAAAATTGGGAGCGACGCCTGGTAAAAAAGGAGCGACGAATAGCAATCCAGTTAAAGATGGTGTTGAAAACAATAAAACAAATCAAAAACGAACATGTGTCCATTGTAGCCATTACTTTTGCAAAGTCAAATTGTGGTTTGCGTGCAAACATTAATCACCAACGTTGACATAAGGACAACTTTTACCCTCCACTTTTTGCATGAGAGACGAGGAAGAGCTTTCTCCTTAGAAAGAGGAAATTGTCATCTGTTCTTCTTAAGGGAATCTTCCCACCCTCTTGCACATCCATGAGGAACCTCAAATCCAGCCAAAAAGTGAGCTAAAAACATGGAAACCCGCATTGATGCTGGTGCTTAAAGAGAGTGATTGTAGCGGGAAGTTTTTGAAGGAAGAATATATTATTTGAAAATGCTACACATATAATTTGAGTTTGCACATTAAAATAAGGTTTTTAAAAATTCAAATAAAGGATTTAAAATTGTTTTGAATTCAAATAATTATTTTTAAAATTATTTAGCTTCTAAACTCTCAAATTAGCTTCATACATATTCACAATAAGTTAGATTAGACATATTTTTTGGGTTTGAATTGTAAGCTCTTAATATTTGAAATATAGAAGTATGTTATTTCACTTTATGTTTTTTAGATTTGAACTAGGAGTACATATTTTATTTACACTACTCGTGCTTTTTGTTTGAACAGTGTGTTCTTCTGAAGTTCTACTCCGTAAGACACACACATTTAATGTTGAATGGAATATTGCCTTGTTTGGTTGCCAATATAAAATGGGGGAAATTAAAATTCATGGGAATTGACGTGTTAGGTAAGTTGTTTGGTTGACACATAAAAATAAAAATGGAGGAAATAGAAATTCATGGGAATTTTAACTTCCCACAAAACATAGGAAGTAAATTCCCTAACACCCCCCCCCCAGTCAATTGAAATTCATGGCAATTTATAATTCCTATATTTCCAACTAAACAAATTATGGAAATTCCTAGGAATTTTGTTAGGGAATAATTTCCCATGAAATACAACTTTCTATGGGAATTTAAGTAAAAAAAATTAAGAAAATTTGCTATCCATGAACGGATCGATCGATATCTAAGTGGATTGGAGTAGAGTAACCCAGAGAGGCCACATAATCTGCTACTCTGTTTCCTTCACAAAAGATGTGCTCGGAATTGAAAGCCGAAAAGGAATTCAAGATAGCTTGATGTCTTCTATTAGGAGCTAAAGCTTCTATGGGCTGTTAAAATAACCCTGCAAAATATTAATAACAGTCAAATTATCTCCTTCTATAAAAATATGGGAAATATATTTGATCTTTTGCTAGGAGAAGACCATTACAAAAGGCGATTGCCTCGGCAAGAAAAGCTAAGCATGAACCCAAGTTATAAGTGCGACTTGCAATATGATTACCGAGGGAGTCCCTAAAAACAACACCAGCTGTAGAAGTGTTATGAGTCGTAGACCCATCAAAATTTAACTTACAGTAACCTATTAGGGGAGGGGACCATGAGACAGTCGTTGTAGTTGCCTCCTTTTGGTTGGTAGGAAGGAGAGTAGTATTGGATTGGTGAAGGGAATCCAAAAAATTCCTACCCTACTGATTAGGGGATTTTTACCCCGCCACATGGACCAATCAAGACCCTCCACGTGTCATCTAGGTGGACCAACCAGAGTCTGCCACGTGTCACTCAGTGAAGAGTCCAAAGTGGACCAATCAAGGCACGACACGTGGCAGACAGATATCCAACTAGGAATGGCTGCCTTCAAGGCCCAAACTCCTAGGCAGCCCAATCAGTCCTAGGTTTCCGTAACCTAGGACTGGGCACGTACTTCGAGTCCCTATAAAAGGGAGATGTTCCCACTTGGGGAACGATATACACAAACATTCAGGGAGAGCATTAATTGCAGAATTAAACACACTTGAGAGTTTACACTCGGATATTGAAGTTGTTTGCTATAGTCGGATGATCATTCCTCTCCTTAGAAGAACCTGATCCCATTTACATTCCGCACTTTTTACATCCGAACACGTTCTAACTTGATCGTCGGAGGCGAAACTCCCACAAACCGGAGTCTCCGTTGTTTTGCAGGTACAGGCGCCCAGAATCCAATCTTAGAATTGTAACTCTCCTGAGGGACATAGAAAACCCCAAAACACCTGCCATTCTCGGGAGAGCAAAAAAGCACAGAAGAAAACAGTAGTAATAGAGGGGGTCGAGTTTTTGAAAATTTTAGCATTTCTAGATTTACAAATACTCCACAATAAAATAGCAAACTTAGGGAGAAGACGGGGAGACATGACTTTCATTGAAGATAAGAGATCAGGGAGGGAAGAGGAAGGAGGGAGAATTCCTAACCACTTTCTAACATAGGATGAGGACCAAAAGTGAAAAGATAAAGAACAATGGAGGACACGGGTGATCTTGTGTTTCAGGAAAGTTATTACAAATGGCACAGTGATGAGGAATATTTACATTCCGTAAAGCTAATGTTTGGTGGGTAGGGAGACTATTACGAAGAAGTTGCCATAAAAAAAATTGTATTTTAGGGGGAATATCTAATTTCCATATCCAATGAAATTCCCATTTGGGAGAACTGGAAGAGTAGTTGTGAGCTAACCACGTAGCAGATTTCTGACCATCTTTTGATAAACCCCAACAAGGTTCATCAGGCATTGCAGAGGAGGGTAGGGGGATACCTCGGATCTTATGAACCAAATCAACTGGGAGGATGGACAAAAGCAAGGGAACATCCCAAGCGTTTTATATGTAATAAAGGTATCAACATTAATATCAAGATTGGAAATAAGATTTGGATCCAAATCTAATAGGCCCGTGATATTAGTATTAACACACCAAATATCAACCCAAAACAGGATAGAGGAACCATTTCCTACTTTCTAACGAACGCCTCGAATAAGAAGAGGACGAATCTGAAGCAATTTCTTCCATATCCAAGAATTCTTAGATTGGGGGTGGTAACTAAGGAAGTGGGAATGATGGAGATATTTAGCTGAAACCGATTGTACCTAGAGATTGTTTGGATCAGTAAGAAGTTTCCAACCTAGCTTAGCTAAGAAAGCCGAATTTATAGCCTCAGATTTACATAAACCAAGACCACCCTGACTCTTAGGGTGACAAATAGTATCCTAGGCAACCAAGGGCAATCCTTTCTTTTGAGGAGACTGTTTCCAGAAAAAAAAATCTTTATTTATTCTATCAATGGAGGAAGTTATAGATATAGGCAATCTAGCTATGGACATAGCATAGAAAGGAATAGCCTCAAGATGGCTCCAGATTAAAACAACCTTACCAGCATTAGAAACTACTCGAAAGATTAGAAGACCAAAATGAGTGTACAATGAGATTGCATCCGGTTGGGGAGCTGATACACATAGACGTGTAGCCCCACATAGACATCCAATGATATTGCGACACATCAGCATTGTAAAAAGTGGAAAGAAAGAGACTTGAGCGAGAGAATTAAGCGGTAACAAGCGTGTGAGATCGAGTCCCGCCTAAGGAGAGAGGAGCTGTAAACGCGTTGTGGATGAAATTATCGCGCCATTTTCATGAAAACAAATAACTTCTTCAAGCAAGGTAGTTAAGTAGTTTTAGAAACCATTTGTATGGCAATGGCAAACAAAGGTGAAGAAATTCGTTAAATTGAAGCTGAAGATTATAATTTGATAGCTTACATTGTTGTTCGAAACCTTTTTTTGGCGACATCGAAGGTAAGTTTTAAAAGTAATTGATCAAATTTAAATTTTATAAGTGAACTAAATTTGTTCTTTTTTTACATAGTTGTATTGAGTAAATTAGGGAATATGTTATATGTGATGAATTAGATATTTTCAAGGAAATATAATGGTTTGAGGTTATAAGGGTTGAAGAAGATATGCTTTTAGTTTTTCAATGTATTTGTAACCCATGGTTTAATTTTTGATATATTATGTCGATGCATTTGTGTGGAAAGTTAATGTTTGTAGTTATAATGTATAATGTACCTAACTCATGAGTTTTTAAAATTATATTTAAGCAATGTTTATAGTGGTATAATTATGTATTATTATATGTAATTTTCAGAGGTCTTTGTGGGGAATGATTTATGAGTTAAATTTTGCTGTGTAGGGTTGGGTTGTAGTGTAATGGCAAATGTGGAGGGAAATTCGAAAAGAAACATTGATCTAAATGAGGTGTTTAAGGATTGTGGAGAAGAGGATCGTGGAATAGCAAACAGCCCGGAAGTGGGAATGATCTTCGTATCAGGAGAAGAATTGAATTGAATGACGATGCAAACAACCAACAACTCCTACTCAAAATGTTTGATGCCGCAAATCGTGAAATATATTTCATCAAATTGATATATGTCCTCCTCTTTTGCATTGTAATTCTTGTTGCATTTTCTTCTAAAATGTGGAATTAAACCTCTTATAGTAATATTATTTACAGTTCTTAATTCAACCATTAATGTAATGGTGGTGTTTCCAGTGACGAACGGGTGAGTAACGCGCAATTCTTATAACATCTTTTTCACATTTATAACATTTTGATATTGATGTCCATACTAATACCACAACTAAGAATTTGATATGAATTTTGTTTATAAAAATTTTGCAAATCCATTTTTGATACTAAAATAATACAAATGATGAATTACAAAATATTTTCAAACCAATTTCAATACTACAACAATACACCTGGTCTCAGTCGTCTATTCCGCTCGCTCACCTCGCCGTAGTTTGTCGTTGATTTCACCCTTCATTGTTGCCG